GTTTCTTCTTCTTCAGAAATCTGTTCATAGTAATGGGCATTGTGCCGGTGGTATTTGAATATTTTACTAGGAAACCGTACATAAATGTTAAAACTGGTTAAGCTTATTGAGCATTGTAGAATGTATAGAAAAGTCATAATATAAAAATAATTCTTAATCTGTTATAGTAATATTTACAATTTGGGCATTAATATTTAGTTGTGTATTGTTAAGGAGTATAACTTCATAGCATGGTTTTTGTTTTAATTTCTTCCTTATTTTTTTTTAGTTTCCAGGCTTCTTTTCGCTGGGTACGTTTTCCCGTGGTGGGCCAACAAGAGAACAGGTCACTAAATTCTTTTTAATTTATTAAACGTAACTTTGAAAAAAAAATTTTCTGTTTAGTAGTTTCAGAAATTTAATTTTTATTAAAAGAAAAAATGCATGATTACCATTGTTAATGCCAGATGTTAATTGTTTACGTATCTGTGTTGTTTTTTTTTTTAATATTTTAGTGAGAATCTTGAGTACAGTAATAGTGCTGTTTTAGCTCAGGGAAATGGTGTCAGTCCTGTACTTACCTGAAGTAACATAACATCTAAAGCCACTTATACTGAAATATTACTGTGTGTGTGTGTGTAAAATTTGTAGATGTCTATTTTTTTGTTTTCTTTAAATCTATAATCTCGTAGGTCAAGGATAATTCTTTCACCTGCACCATTCATGGTGAAGGATGGACAGAAAAGCTGACTGATCCCACAGACCAGCACAAGGACAAGCCAGATAAAAACCTGACTATTGTTGTCAAGGGGCCAGGTAAAGAGTTGTACATATTCAAGGGTGGTTAAAGATTAGTTCATAATATAATCCTACTGTTAGTATGTTAGAGGCGTTTATACTGCTTGATAGATAGTAAGTGGAATACTAATAAAACATAAAAATACACTTCTTTGTGATTTTAGTGAAGTTCCAGAAATGACTAGGAAAAGTCAGTGCATGTATTTATTAGTAGGCTAAACCAACATCATCACTCATAGTAGAAATGCACCTTTTTGTATTGGATAAGTAGTTTTTAAACATTATAGTTTATTATCCTTTTCGAGACGGGTCATGGGTGAAAGGCTATGTCATCTGTTTGTTCGTCTGTATTGTTCTAATTCTGTGTTATTAGATAGATATCAATACATCAGTTATCAATTTAAATATTTTATTCTCACTTTGTAACCTTTATTAATACCCATTAATCATTTCCAGAAGGGTTGCAGGTGAAAGGCCATGTCATCTCGTTTGTTGACTGGCATTCAAATTGTTATTGAACTACTATTTCATGAATTTATGTCAATAAGTTTGGTATCAAACTGTAGACTATAATTCAAATGTTAGTACTATACATTACTCAATTTGTTGATTTAAAAGTAAATTAAAAAAAACAAACTTGGAAAACATTGATTTTTGTGTGTCGCATGGTATGTTGAATGCAGCACTGGTTCAAATTTAATGTTTGTGATGTCATATTACTAAGTCTATATTTTTGTACAAATTAGAAACTCAAATTACCGATATTGACAAGTTAATATAAAATAAGGTCTTATCTTTTCTATTTGTCTAAGATATTGCTCAAGTAATAAATCAAATATAGTGATACCCCGCCCAACTCCTTCCATTTTTGGAAATGCTCCTTTATATACACTTCTATGTATGACATGAATAGCAAATCGGAAGCTCAGAATGTACTCCTAGTGGCTTTCTCAACCATTTTAACATGTTTGGATGCCATGTCTTTCTTTTGAACCAAGATTTCAAGGAGGTAGGGTGTCTTTGGTCTGTTCATTTCATATATTGTTAGACTAAAATACATCTTAGTTACTAAGCTTGATAAATTATAGTGGAATTGGTATTGATATAGTAATTTATTATTTGTTAGTTATTCAAATG